AACCATAAATTAAAAAGTTGTTTAATATTTATACAGAGACTTTGCTAATAATTCTTGATTTCCTTATTAAATATTTTAATTAAAATATTGATATTAAACAGAGAAATGTATTTTAATTTTACAAGTCTTAGAATTTTTCAAAATACAGAAAAGTATAAAGAAGAAACCAGAAATGTCCCATAATTACTCAGACATAATACAATCATTGACATAAATCATGAATATAATTGGAAAATTAAAATTCTGTAATAGAGAAGGATATAAAACTAGAAGTAAAAGACTTGTCTTACTGCTCCTATCTCCACTAATCCCTGTTCTCAAAGGTAATTATCAAGTTTCTTGTGTTTCCTTAAAAAAATGTATGCATATATCATACGTAGGTAACTATCTTTTTTATTTCTATCAATGAGATCATACTGAAACAGCATTCTTGGTTTCTACTTTTCACTGACTGACACAGCTTTGAGACCTTTCCAGGCCATCACAGGCAGAGCAGATCATTCTTGGTAAAACTGCAATGATATCTTATTGTGTGGTTATTGAGTCAATTCCCTACTGTACACAAGTAGTTTGTCTCCAGGTTTTTGCTATTACAAGCAATGTAGTCATAAACATCTAAAAAAGAAATATAAAGGTAGGTATGAGTCAATCCTGCTAAAGTAACACAATTGTCAAACTGACTAAATGCATTCAATATTATGTTTTATATTAATAAAGTTCTTTCAATATTTGGCAGAAAATTTACAGAAAAATTAAAATTCACTCTACCAATGGTTTTTGACGTTTTTCTATAAGATTCCACAGATATTGATCAATAAGATCCATATTTAATGGATATTATTTTACACTTAAATTTTTTTAAACGAAGGAATGTCATTAGTTATGTTTCACTTTTATTGACGATAGGAAAGAGGATACATGATTCAAACGTAAGTGATGATGTAGTTTATTTTGAATTATCACACCTTAGAACTAAAAATTGTGAGATCTCTTTAACCAACAATCCTAAGACAAGGCTAAGCAAAAGTCTGAGTTTAGAAAAGAAGAAATTAATGAGTGTCTTGGTTTATTCTGAAGTCAGAATCTAACTCCTTTTCCTTTTAGGTTATCTTACTTCACAGTGGATTTTAAAAAATTTGAATCTTGCTTTCATAGTGTATAACCAAGAGAAGAATTTTTAATAAAGATTTCACCACTGCCAAAAATAGATGATTATTTCATGTTTTTTTTTTTTTTTAATTCCATGTGTTTTGCTTGATGTATTAATTTACCCATTTGCAATTGTGCTAGGAGCTAGGGATGTCAGTCTCTTCTGACTTACAAAGGAGTAAAAATCCAGTAAGATGGCTGCTGTGGACAGGAGGGCACTTGGGAAGGCTGCCTTGTAATTTTTAAGTAAATTACTAGTTTTGATTTGTGCTTAGTGGACCACTACATCTTGTCACTAGTAGCTGAATGCTCAACTTCAATAACCAGATCTGATTCTCTGGTTCAATTAAACTGGGGTCCCATTAATGAAACTAAGATCATCAGATTCCACAATCTTCCGCAATAGTCATTAGTTAATCTGCACTGAGAATTTACAAAGTGAATAGTGTAAATAAGTGGTTTTTGGAAACACAATTATTTTATTAGTTTCATTAAATGTGCCTGATCAAGTTATATGCTATTCAACAAAATGCACTCCAAAACAGTTACAAGTTTTTAGGTTTTCTTTTCAGCTTGTATGAAAACACTAGAAAGCACCCACAGAAAACAGCTACTTCTTTCTCTAGAGGTTTCATTGGGATTTCTCATTATGTGCATTTATAATAAAATACTACAATTTACATGAGTACTCCATAGTCAATTAAAGAGAACACATTTTCTCATGCAATTCAAATCTCATTGTGGGGAGTCCACTTTTTTAGAAAGACACAAAAACAAGTAGTTCAAATGAAGAAATAATTCTTGGCTTTCCCATGATTAAAAAGCCTGTCCTTGGGCTTTATTCATCAGCTACACCTTTCAAACAGCTTACACAAAGAACAAGAATGATTGCTATATTCTCTGACAGTAAGCTTCCAAGCTCACAAATGTCAAAAGCAGCAATTGAAAAGTATTTACAGAAAGAGAAACACAAAGTGCAACTTATGTTTGTGTAATCTTAGCTGGTGTACATGTGCAATGAGATTTATTTAAGAAGAGCAATCGGCCGGGCACGGTGGCTCCCGCCTGTAATCCCAGCACTTTGGGAGGCCGAGGCAGATGGATCACAAGGTCAAGAGATCGAGACCATTCCTGGTCAACACGGTGAAACCCCGTCTCTACTAAAAATACAAAAAAATCAGCTGGGCATGGTGGCGCGTGCCTGTAATCCCAGCTACTCAGGAGGCTGAGGCAGGAGAATTGCCTGACCCCAGGAGGCGGAGGTTGCAGTGAGCCGAGATCGCGCCATTGCACTCCAGCCTGGGTAACATGAGTGAAACTCCGTTTCAAAAAAAAAAAAAAAAGAAGAGCAATCATAAACCCTACGGTTACCAATGAATATAAATATAATTAGGATTCACAGAACAGAAGAAATATGCTATTAGATGATAATTATTCATTTCTGTATATATGACTCAAGTTCCCCATTATGCATTGAGAGCCCATTTATGGAAGTTGCAAAATATATATTAATATCCTCTTTTATGACTTGGGTTCAAATATGCCCTATGAAAAAGTTTGTGTTTAACTATAACATTAAATTAATGATGCAATTAATATTTATTCAAATTTCCATTTAATTTCACACATTGTAAGTGTTATTGAACTTTAAATTGAAAAAGACACTTAAAATATCTGGATATAGACTTGTACTTTCATTTAAAGACATAATTAATTCTTAAAACATTAAGCTAGAAAAAAAAAGAGCATTTACAATTGCAAACATTTATCTGATATGCTTTATAGTTTAGCATTGTTATTGAGAGTTATCACAGCATGTTAGATACAGATATAGCATTTGTTACAGAACACACTCTTACTTATTTTATTCTGTGGTAAACCTTCCATTACGATTGAATTGTGACTCAAACTGTTTATAATGGCTGCCTGGGTAGTGAGATCTTTTTAATCCTTTTATGTATATATTTTCTAAAGGGTCTTTAATAATCATGGATTGTATACAGTGTCTCTCTCTATCTAAATACAGTATATATAGTAAGCATGCAAATTCTCAACTGTGTGTGCCTGTGTTACTATCAAAAAGTCCTACCTAAAGTTCATAATTGTTGAAGCAGGTAATGGGTACATGGGGATTGTTCATTATACATTCTCTTGGATTTTCTGTAAGTCTGAAAATGTCATAACAAAGGGCTAAATAATGTACGGCCTATTCATACATAGTTGTCTGCCAGGATTTATACTGAAAAGGCTACTGAATGGGTCCCAGTTCTCTGGGAATATACAATTTAGGACACCTAATACTGATGAAGATTGATACATAGAAAATACTCCAAGAATAAATGAACATGAAATAAGTACAGAGAATACAATGAGTTCACTTTTGAAACTTTCATATCACGTTTATCTCCTTTCTCTTGTTTTTCCTTTGACTTCCCTCAAACTTTGACCATTCTTTCACTCCCATCTATTACCTGAGAATCACCGAGTCTTGCCAGTTTTCCTGCAGTTTCTCTCAGGGCCATTGTTTTCCACTTTCATAGCTACTATGAGTTTGGGCCTTTGCCATTTTAAGCTTAGATTGCTGCAAAGACATCTTAGCTGTGCTCCTTAGTCTCTGGTCTCACTTGATTTCAAAATTCACCTTGAATCCTGCTGTTAAATTCAACTTCTTAAAACAGAAATTACCATTCCTCTGCCTTAAAAAACTGAAGCCCATTTCTCTCGTATTCTTCCAGCACAGTCACTCTGCTTACTAAGGCCCTTCCTCTTATTACTCCTTCAGTAAACATACCCACCCATTTTGCTATCTCCTTGTCTTTGCTCAGTCTTCTGCCCCATCTTACACTTCCAACAGTCTCACATCAATTTATTTATTTTAAGTATTTATGTAATATATATTTGTATATAAGTATAGGTTGGATACCTTCAAGATCTACTTCTTCCTCTCTACATGTCCTGTGATTACCACCATCATTTAACCTTTCTCTGAATTGCTTCAGTGTTTGTGAGTGTTACCTGAATCAGACAACCTTTGTGGGATAAGTGATCCAGTGGACTATCCTACGCCAATTATATTAGAATCTCTAGGGGACAGATATCAGAAAAAAAAATGTAACATTAAAAATGTCTCTAGCCTGTAAGGAGGTGATTCTAACAAGTAGGTAGTTGAGAACCACACATCTAGATAACATTAATTTTCTGCATTTGTAAATACTACTCATTCATTTGGTCAACAGCTATGGTGTCTATCACAGAGGTAGAATACTGGCAGGCCCAACATGTTTTGTTTGGACCACGGAATGTCTTTGAAAAATTTTAGACAATGTTTTAAAATTGGGAGATTTATTATAAACATTCAGATATCCAGCTCCTCTTGAAAAAAATCCGAGATCTAGTGAGACTGGGCCTGCTGTTTTGCAAGGCAACACTGGCTAGAACTGAATTGTAGCTCTCCCTTCTAGACTGAGGGCGCTTCCAGTTGGCTTCAGTCCCCACGACTCCCTACAACTCCCTCACAGGGGCTCAGTGTTAATTGCTATTTAATGTATTATTTGCACAGTTGTTAAAGTTATGTTTCCCATAATACCACGACCATTTCTCTCACAGCTGAAGCTGAAAATATTTCTATGTGTCAAATACTCAGGCAACCAGCCCACTTTATTCATTTATGTTATCTTCCTGGCCTTGTTAGTGATCAGAGTTTGTAGCTCCTGCCCTGGTATGTTGCAAGTATACTTTGTTAAGTGCTAAGGATACAGATGAATGAGGGACAGTGTCCTTTTTGAGGAAATCACACTTTATGGGGGGGATGCAGACATATTACATTATAATTTAGGTGCGTGAGTGTGTACCTGATTCTGCTGATCTTAGAGGATGGCCTCCAAATTTTATTTCAGTCTGGCGAAGTTTAGTCATGTTTAGCAACTGTGTGACGTGTGGAACATCTGTCGTTAGCTGACAGCTTCGTGGTATAATGTCTGTAGGCTCATCTGTTGAAAAGGGAACACCATAGATGGCTGGAAATAAAGACAAACATTCATTTTCAAAATGTAAGCCATTTCTGCCAAATGGACATATCATATAAATGAAACCAATTAAAATAAAAGATTTTAGCATATATGACTTTGCATGATAGTCAACCTTTCAGCCCTCATTTCCTCATCTGTAAAATAAGCATGATAATTTTACTGCTTGCTTCCTAATATAGACAGGATTAAAGGAGATAAAGCTTACATGAAGTGAGTTCAGAGAACTATACAATAAATAAGAGCATGCATTGGAAATATTCCATATTTGCTTTTTAATACTAGAAGTGTGACTTGAGAAAACTAGTTAGGTATGCACCATTTAAGACTTCTGGGAGTACATCAGCTTATTTATGTGATATCAATAAGTACAAAGATACTGAATAACCTAAGCACCCACAGCCATTATATAAGTAAACTAGTTTTTTAACTTTTTATTTTGAAATAATTTCAGACTTTTAGAAAAGTTAAAGTTCAGAGACTTTTTTTTTTTTTTTTTTGGGACGGAGTTTCGCTCTTGTTACCCAGGCTGGAGTGCAATGGCGCGATCTTGGCTCACCGCAGCCTCCGCCTCCTGGGTTCAGGCATTTCTCCTGCCTCAGCCTCCTGAGTAGCTGGGATTACAGGCATGCGCCACCATGCCCAGCTAATTTTTTGTATTTTTAGTAGAGACGGGGTTTCACCGTGTTGACCAGGATGGTCTCGATCTCTTGACCTCGTGATCCACCCGCCTCGGCCTCCCACAGTGCTGGGATTACAGGCTTGAGCCACAGAGACTTTATTATTACTCTTTACCCAGCTTCCTCTGTTAGCATCTTACCTTTTAATATTTTCAGAATAATAGCTTATCATACTTACGATAGCATTTTATTTTAATTTCATTCATATATATTTAAATATCATGGATATTTAAATTTTATTTTTTAAAAATTGTTTTTAATTGACAAATTGGAAATGTACATATTCGTAGTAATGTTTAGATACATGGAATATATGGTGAACAGATGAGGATAATTAGCCTATTCATCATCTCAAACATTTATTATTCCTTTGTGGCGGGTACATTCAATACCTTCCAATGTATTTGAAAGTATATAAAATATTATTGTTACATATAGTCCTCTTACAGTGGTTTTCCTCCTATCTAGCCATACATTTGTATTCTTTAACAAATCTTTCTCTGGCTCTCCCTTCCCCCTACCATTCCCAGCATCTAGAATCCTCTGCTCTTCTTTTTATTTCTAAGAAATTAGCTTTTTAAAGCTTCCACATGCGTGAGAATATATGGTGTTTAACTTTCTGTTCCTGGCTTATTTCACTTAACATATTGTCCAGTTCTATCCATCTTGTTGCAAATGACAGGAATTCATTTTTTTTATGGCTGAATAGTATTCTATGGTGTATGTATACCACATTTTCTTTATTCACTCATCTGTTGTTGGACACCTATGTTGATTCTGTATCTCAGCTATTATGAATAGTGCTGCAATAAACATGAGTGTGGATGTCTCTCTGTAATTTTCTTTTTAGTAAATGTTCTGTTCATGTTTGTAAGCCATTTTACTATTAGTACTTTTTTTTCTACTTATTTATATGACCCCTTTTATAGTAAATATATTAAGCCTTGTCATTTGTAGCAAGTAGGAATATAAATTAGTATTAATATCCTAGAAAGAATTTACTACGTGTACCAAAGCCTTAAAAATGTTCATACCATTTTACTCAATAATTTCATTTTATGAATCTATTCTAAAATTAAAAAAATTAGAAACTCAAGGATATATGCAAATAAATGTTTATAATTTCTGAAAAATAACTTAAATTTCTATCACTTGAGGTGTGTTAAACACATTACAGTGTTTCATGGGATGAGACAGTGAAGAGCCACAATAAATTCAATTTATGAATATGTCTTCATGAAATGGGAAAGGCTTGAGATAAGAAGTTAAATGAAAAAAAATAGATACAAAAACTTTATCTCAACCATAGAAAATAAATTTATAAAATACATGAATGGGTTGGGTGTGGTGGCTCAAGCCTGTTAATTCCAGCACTTTGAAAGGCTGAGGTGGGAGGATTTCACACCCAAGTTCAACACCAGCCTGGGTAATATAGCCATACCTCATCTCTCTTAAATAAATAAATAACCAGCCACTCAGGAGGCTGAGATGCAAAAATCACTTGAGCCTGAGAGGTGGAGGCTACAGTGAGCTGTGATTGCACCACTGCATTCCAGCCTGGGAGACAGAAAGAGACCCTGTCTAAAAAAAAAAAAAAAAAAAAAAAAAAAAAATACAATCAAATATACAAAAAAAAAATTTTAATGGCAAAAAGTGTGAAAGGAAATATACCAAATGAAAAATAACTTTAGGTGGCTAGCTTGAGCATAGTTTTGAATTTTATTCACAATAATTTGTATATATGTTTGATTTTCATTAGTAAAGCTTCTGTTTTTGGAATGCAGTGGAAAAATTTTGTGTGTGTATATGTGAATGTAAATAGTCATGAAAGTTAAATGAACCATCCCTCAAAAAACTTCCTTATGTATAATTCGCACAGTTTATAAAAGCAATTAGAAGAGGTTTCTATGCATCTTAGCCATGGCATTTTTCTAATTAGATCCTAATGTCCTAATCTGAAAAAGGAAAATCAGTCATCTAACTAAAAACTTAAATACTCATCAACAGTGTAATGATTTCTAAATGGCCTAATGCTCTAGACATTAAAAATGTGCTAGATTTACAAATATTAGTTTTCAGATGCTTTTTGTCCATTCATTCTTTGCCATCAATATTTAGAAAATCTATATAAAGTAACTGAGCAAATGAACTCTCAAAATAGTAAACATTTCAAAAAACATAACTGAAGTAACCTAACTTAGATATATTTGACATATACTTCAAAATTCCTTTGAGATAGAAAAAGATAATTTCCACATCAATGCCAATATTAATAAATGAAGATTTTAAAATTAGAAGATGAAGAAAATTCTTGAGGCCAGTAAAAACCTGAAATAAAGTGCTGTCTTCTGAACCCTATGACGAGAATCATGGAAACTTCAGCTTATCGGGCTTGTGTGACAGGTACAAGGATACAATGGCATACAAAATTTGAAATGTATGAACACAAAACTTGAGTTTCCAAATAAAAAGAGAAAGACATCAAATCGCTAGTAATAATAAATTCCTAAGCTTTTACGGAAGATAGAACAAGGCAGGGACTATCACAAAACTGCAATCCGAATCTTAAAGGAACATGGTTGACATGCAGATCAGATTTGACATTAAAAGTCTCAAATCCAATCTGCATCATCCATCATCTTTTCTTTCTCTATATCTACTCTCCCTTTGCACATAGAACTGTTTCACCTCTCACTGGATTATTCTTTAAGGGCAACTGTGAGTAGTATAACATCGGCAATAAAAGGAGAAATTTTAAAGAAATTGTTTATTTTAAAATAAAGACTAACCATTAAGCCCATCTAGAACTACTAGCTCTAAAGCTTTCTCTGAGACTTCATGGTGGAATACTTGGAAAGGGACTTTAGTCTCATTTTTATGAAACCAAACTATCAAAGAGCTTTAGGACCAGCTATTGCCTGGCAGCTGGATGTTCTGTAGCACTAAATGGAAATTCACTCATCTCCCCCCTGCTCACCACTAACTACCATCTTTTCTATGTCCAATTACAAAGTCATTTTATTTTTAGCATATACAGCTTACTTTTAAAATAAAGGTTAAGCAAGAAAATAGCATAGACCCTACATAAAAATTAAATAGTGCTTCTTTGGGAGTTCACAGAAAGGATGGTCTGCTTTCACTTATTTTCCCATTCTGTCATTCAAAAAATATTTACTGAGGCTCTACTATATGCCTGGCATAGATCTAATGGCTGGGAATCTAGTGGTGAGCCAGTAACCCTGTCCTTGCCTCCTTGAAGCTTACACCTAGCAGAGAATACAAAACAAAATCACAAATAATTTTTTTTTCAACTTTTAAGTTCAGGGTTACATTTGCAGGGTGTGCAGGTTTATTACATAGGTAAATGTGTGCCATGGTGGTTCACTGCACAGATCATCCCATCACCTGGGTATTAAGCCCACCACCCATTAGCTATTCTTCCTGATGCTCTTCTTTTCCCAACTCCTGACAGGCCCTAGTGTGTGTTGTCCTCGTTCCATGTTTCCATGTGTTCTCATCATTCAGCTACAACTTGTGAGCACATGCAGTGTTAAGCTTTCTGTTCTTGCATTAGTTTGCTGAGGATAATGGCTTCCAGCTCTACGTCCCTGCTTCCCTCTATGTTCCTTTCTATGGCTATATGGTATTCCATGGTGTATATGTACCACATTTTCTTTATCCAGTCTATCATTGATGGGCATTTGGGTTGATTCCATGTCTTTGCTATTGTGAATAGTGCTACAGTGAACATATGCGTGCATGCATCCTTATAGTAGAATTATTTACAGTCCTTTGGGTATATACCCAGTAATGGGATTGCTGGGTCATGATATTTCTACCTTTAGTTCTTTGAGGAACTGCCACATTGTCCTGCACGATGGATGAACCATGAACTAATTTATACTCTACCAACAGTGTAAAATTATTCCTTTTTCTCCACAACCTCACCAGCATCTACTTGTTTCTGGCTTTTTAATAATAGCCATTCTGATTGGCACGAGATGGCATCTCATTGTGGTTTTGATTTCTATTTCTCTAATGATCAGTGATATTGAGGTTTTTTCATGTTTGTTGGCTGCATGTATGGCTTCTTTTGAGAAGTGTCTGTTCATGTCCTTTGCCCACTTTTTAATGGGGTTGGTTTTTTTTCTTGTAAATTTCTTAAGTTCCTTGTAGACTCTGGATATTAAACCTTTGTCAGATGGACAGATTGCAAAAATATTCTCCTATTCTCTATGTTGTCTGTTCACTCTGATGATGGTTTCTTTTGCTGTGCAGAAGCTCTTTAGTTTAACAGAGCCTGTTTGTCAA